GGGAACTTTGATGAAGGTAGGCATTGACTGCAATCCGATAGGAATACGAGTCCTAGTTAAAGGAGATATTGTGACGCCTTTTCCTATCCAAGTCCAGGTACACCCCTGAGGATGGTCAACTGGCGACCAGCCGAAATGCGTCATCGGGTGTACGCCGACCTGCACGACTATGTGCATTGACGTTTTTTCTATCGAGTTCCACTTAACCTGCGCTTGGATTCTTTCATACTTCGTCTTCCTTTTCCTCCATGGTTGTCTGTCTAGTCCTTGTTTTGTTGTGTGTTCACACACTGTGTTTTCACACTTCGGTGGTACTATGTATGCTACTCACACGCTTGGGTCAGAAAATCCCACTCCAAAATTGAACAACTACAAAACTCACCGCCTCATGAAACATTACAGGAATTTACAGCAGCCACATGCAAATCTTTTGTTGCGCCATTTTTTTTTTTGCTTTTCCAAGTTGTCCGCCGTAAGCTTTTTGTCATTTCTCTTCTGCAGAATCTGCACAACTTTTGACAAAAATACTGAAAAGCGCCAGGGGTGCGCATCTTCGCTTAGTCTACAACCCTAATAATTGTTTTGAAAAACTTTCACTGACCACTTCGGACTAAAAAATTCCTGAAGTTCGCGCGCTCAGAGCTCTGTGCACTGCAGCCAAAACGGTGCATGAAGGACGTGGGGGGGGTGGAAGACAAAAATAAAGAACAGCATCAGTGGATGAGGTGCTGATTCTACAGGAGGAAAAACAATACAAAAAAAAAAACACTTTGTCACCAAATGGACATTCGGTTCGACTTTCGAAGCCCTACCAGTTATCATCGTCTCGTGCACGTCGTCCACGGCAATGTGACAAATTTTGAGACCATGGCCGTGTTTTTTGCGGCACATAAACCGTTCAACGAACAAGTCTGAAGGACTGTGGGATATAGATATACTATCAATATCTCTGAGAAAACCTAGGCTGGGCCGCCGCCCGGCCCGTTGGGCCCAGGGGGGTCCGCCCGGCGAAACCGGACGACGCAAAAACACAGCAAGGATTTTTTTTTATTTTTTTTTGAAGGCGGGGTTGTGC